GATACGGACAGTAAAACTAAGAAGGACTTTTTTCCCCTATAGTAATTTGGATTCAGGCACGTAGATCATATATATGAAACAAAATTAGGGAGAAACGTGCATGAAATACTACTATCAGCTAGCTGTTCCACTGTATCATTCACGCTGCCAGTACTAAAAGGGTAAAATTGGAGATGCTGTAGAGGAGGAGATACGTTCCTATCTGCTATTGGCATTCTTGCATGTTGCAACATGCGTTTCTCACTAGTCATCTATTTCCTAGGAAGAACGATTGATTTACAGGTGCGATCCCTAGAGTGAGGGACACAGTCTGAAGGTTTGACTATTACCAAGTTAAATGGAATAGATGTGGAATAGATTAGAGCATTTTCCAAATAGTAAAGCAAACCGCAGAAAATATCTCTTCTGGTTGAGAAAATTACATTATGTGGCCGTTTATTTAGTAAAAATCAGGTAAAAAGGTTCATTTAGTGCCTGCGGTTCTCCTCTCCCAATTAATCGCTGAATGTGAAAGAGTGATTAATGTAAATCACTACATGTAAGCACGTATTTCACCGTTCTGGAGGAAAGCAGAAGTGTGTCTTGGCGTTTCAAGAAGCTCTGTGGTGGGAACAGATAGTAAGGGAATCTTCTTCAGCTCAAATGGCAGGGTTTGTTTTCCTAGTAAATAATTTATATTCCTGTTGTTAGGAAGAAGTTGCGAGAGACTGTAGGAAAGCCGCGTGATAACAGCTACGAAGTCCTAAGAGGCCGCGGAGATGTTACACTCGATCTGGCACTCCTGTGATGCAGCTTACCATGATTTCCAATGTCAAGAGTCTTTCAACATGCGATTCTGCGGGCTTACAATCAAAACCGCGGGGCTACATAGCTGAGAGACTGCCTCTCCCTGCATGACGGGTGATAGCTTCTGATAAGGGAGAGCACTAAAACTGGCAATTGATTTAAAAGAGACAGAACAGATTGCACAATTGCACAATTTGTTGATTCTGCATGCTACACGCAGCCACGGCTGCTCTTTCTGTTATCTTTATTAAAAGAATGGGTTTAGGTATCCGAGAGGCTTAGTGTACAAGCTATTTTATTTTTTTGTTAGACTGTTTTTTTTCTAAAGCTGACAAGTATTTGGGCAGCGAATGTACGTTGCTTTTTTTCTCATCTGTTTTGGAAAAAGTAAAACAACGTAGAGTACTTTGGAAAGGGGGCTTGCTTGCTGCTAGTCTCTCCTACTGGCCAGATGCTTCTTCCCGTTCCATGCCAGGACAACAATTTAGCTTCAGTTTCATGCATGGAACAGCTGAGTTCTGCTTGTGAAACTGAAGCCAGGGTTTGTCTGTCCAGCTGCAGTGGAAATCTGCATTTTAAGCTGAAAGAAATGAAGGAGCCTGCATCTAGTTTCTTTTTTTCCTTTGCCACATACTTCAGGAATACTAGATTTATTTTTTTTTTTTCAAAGGGCAATTCATTATTGCCTGCAAGAACAAGCACAGCTAATGTACTTGTAAGGTAGAACAGCCTTATAATTTGTATGTACTGACTTCCACACTACTTACTTGGAAAATTAGCATTCCATTGATTGATTCATTGCACAGAAAGGGGGAGATTTGCAAAAATAACTAGCGATTTGGGATAGTTCAGTTTTCACAGAGGTCAAAGACAGTTCAGTGCTCAAATCCATTTCATTCCTCTTTGAGAGTTCCTACGTGCTGATGATCTGTATTTGATGAGCACTTACTCCCAGGAAGCTGAACAAAGTCTTGTCAGGTAATTTCACCATAAACTATTTTTTAGGATTCTCCTCGTTTCCTTCTGTTGCTTTTCCCAATGTTGCACAAGGTTGTTTTGCAAACTGTGCCTCTAGGCAAAGAAAACCCAGTGTAACTTTCGTTACAGCTTTGGAAAAATCGCTTCCTGAGAGTCTCTTTCATTCCAGTCTTTGAAAAAAAGAGTTCCCTCCAAGAAGAGAAGTCTTTCTGAGCCCTGAGTAAGCCTCAGTATGATATTTCTTCAGCGCTGTCAGCATACATCTCCCTACTGATTGCTCTGATCAGCACTCAAAGATACCTCTGTGAGGGTTTCCTCTACCAATGGCCCAAGCTCAGCCTGCCTACGGGCAGGCAGCGGAGGTGCTCCAGGCCCTTCCTCTTTTGTGATGAGCGTGACTTCTGACGAGAGCTCTGCTGCTCACCAAATTTTATGTCCGAGATCGTTTTGGAAAAGAACAAGAGGGCTTTTTCATTAATTTTTTTTTTTAAGGTTTTGTGTATTTTGTTCTTTAAACCAACATCAATATTGCCTCCTCTGGGCTGATTAAAACTTGCTTGCTATTTTAAAGATATCAGGTTAGCAATAAATATAGATAAGTTATATAATGGTTGGAGTCAAAGCACAAACACAGGGATAACTAGACTTATTCTGCGACACTACACTGAACTCGACCAGCTAAATCCAAACAGCAACTATTATTAAAAGTTTGCATGTCTCTAGCCCCTCGGGATATTCAAATGCTTTACAAAGTATTTTAATTTAGCCTCACAACCAGCCTGACATGAGGGTAAATTTATCCTTGTTCTGAAGTTGCTGTCTGCATACATCTTTGAACTCATCAAGCTTGCTTGCCCGTGCTGGACTTTGCGTGCACATAAGTTGGGTGGATATGAAAATTAGTATTAACCTTTGCATCTGTGGGTTTAACTGACTGGTCAAAAGTCATGCAGTGAATAGCGCTTGGGTCTCCAAAGCAGAACACAGAGCCAAACCACAAGACCATCTGTTTCTCCCTCTGAAGGGTGTTTAAGCAGCGTAGATAGAAATGTCCGCTGCAAAGATACACGTCCTTCCCTTTTCCACATACTGGGATTTGGCTGTGAATCCTGTAGCGACTCTTCTTTCCCTCCACTCAGCGGTAGAAAAATCAGGCATTGCGTAAGCTGAAAGGCAGGTACTACAAATAGGCCTTATATGTGGGATTTTCTTGTTTCCACTAACGTGGATCTCCCACTGGTCTAATATTTACTGGTTTGTCACCTCCCTAGAGGCCAGTCTGCGTTAAGGCAGCGGCCACCTGTGTAGTAACACTTGCATGCCGTCACACCGTCTTGGGAGCCAGGCTGGGACACACTTCATTTTGCTATGACCAGTGCAACCCCTATTGCTGTAAGCCCCCCGCACGCCTGGGCAGCGTACCTGCTGCCTGGGACAACGCAGTTGCCCTCTCAAGTCTCTTGAAAATAGACGCGCTTCATTTTCCCCCACAGGGATGAATGGGCCTTCTACCTGCCTCCGAAGCGTACCTCTTCCTTGGCTGACATGGCACTTGGAGTCTTTATACTGTTCCAAGGCATCAGATTTTTGCACAGTGTGTCAGGTCCCTGCATGCGGAACACCTGCTTGTAATGGTATAATGGCCTTCCTCCAGGTGCGCTTCATTACATTCACCGGGTAAATTTTTTCTCCTAGGTTTAATATTGCCTCTTTTGCTTTTTCCCCGGGCCACAGGCCCAAACACAGAGTTCTTGCTGGTTGTGTCCATCTCTTTCTCAGCGGTCTCTCTAAATCCCTCGGCCTTGGCAGCCACTTACTTATGGCAGCCTGCCCACCGTAAGCCTCAGCTGCTCTGGGCACATGCCGCGTCTTTCTTCTCAGAGCGTGTACAACTGTGCTGCTGTTTTGACCCCTGGGCGGTTGTGCCCAGACCTAGACCACCTCCTGCAGAGAGACCTTGCCTTCAAGCGACCACCCTGCTGGGACGACCTGCTCTCAGGTCCCTCCTGCGCCAGGTGACTCACTCCTCAGGCTCCAGGATTTCCTTCAGGAGTATCGATCCAGTAGCTGACTAGTTTGTTGCGCCACTTTCAACTCAGTTGGGTGCCGCCTCAACTGTCCCTTCCTACTGTTACTGAGGACAAAGGACTGTAATCAGAGGTATCCAGCTGAGGGCATATTCAGCACAAGACGAATAAAAGGAACTCTGTTGCGGTATGTTAGCACTAGAGGTTCCTGCCAAACCATCAATTCCACAGTCTGCTGGTCTGAGGATATGCTGCACCGCCTCGGGCTCCCAGCACTGACATGCAAAGTGTTCTGGGAAGGGCCCTGATGGAAATGCCTTGAGCAAACAGCCAGAATATGCAAGAACTGCTGTAACTGCGGGAGTGGAACAATGTCGGGACAGTGTCAGTCAGACCTCCAGCAAGAATTTCCCAGCTAGGAGCTCAAGCTCAATTATCTTCACTTGGTCACTGCCACAAACTACCAGCGCGCCAACCGATTTTGGAAAACCGTAACAGCTTTACAGACTTCTTAAACGCTGATCCTTAAACAATGAGACCCAGAAGAATTAGAATGAAATTGGGAAAGCTAGATAAAATTCCAGTGGGACTTGCCTTTCTCTGCACCTTCTTAGTTCGAAAAGGCATATATTATTTCAAGATAAAAAGTAAGAAAAATGGAAGGAAGCAGCACACAGCAAGCTTGGATTCGAAGAGCAGTTCCCCCTATGCATAGAGGAGTTTGGTTGCTGCAGCAAAAATAGCCTTTCATTTCAGTCTTATAAGCATGGCCCGAGAGTTACTACAGAAATGGTTAAAAAAGCTTATGACAGATGAATTTTTAGCAAACTAATTCAGAGTTAACTTGTCAGGAAAAAAATTCTATGCTCTCTCTATGCTTGATTTCTGTCACTGTGCTTGTTATCTTTAGAGGAAATCCTCCTTTGTGTGCTATCTGAACAGCTAATAACTACAGACACTGGAACGAGTTTAAAGAAAATGAGTTGTCTTTGCTCTGAACTTCTTGCTTTTATCTGTTAATTTCAACCTCTAGTGGCATAGCAAGGTTTTGCCACTCATCTCCACCGTGCCAGGATTTCCATGCAAAGTATTTATTCTGTTCCCAGTCTCTACTGTACAGTATTATAACACACCCCCAGCCCCTTCCGAAAAAAAAAAAGACAAAAAAAAAAAAAAAAGACTTAAGTTACAAAAAATTTGAACGCTCACAAGTTTAGTCGTCTAGTTCTTAAGTGGAGCGGACAAAAGGAATAAATGGAGCTGTGAGGAAACAGCTTCCCTGGCGATTCAGGCGTCTCTACCTTCTGCGACGTCAGTGGGACTGCCAGACAGAGCCTGCCATCTGGAAACGAGAAGAAAAAAGGACAGTGAATCCCTGCTGCAGGCTTTTGTGCTGGGGAAAGGCCTCAGTAAGCGAATAAAGCAAGTAAAGGGTAAATTCCTGTTCGCATCTTGCACGGCAGTAAATAAGGCAACTCCGGCGGTGACAGGGAGCTCTGTCCCAGCAAACACAGGCCGGGAGACACGGTACGGGCAGCGAGAGCTTGGCGCTTTTGCCGAGTGTCCGCACAAGGCCGTCTTTATAAATAAACGCCTTTGCTTATTGTTTCGCGAGTGTTTTAAATAAAACTTTAGAGCTTTAACCTGCCTGCTGCCACGGTGTCGCGGGCAAACACAGGCCGGGAGACACGGTACGGGCAGCGAGAGCTTGGCGCTTTTGCCGAGTGTCCGCACAAGGCCGTCTTTATAAATAAACGCCTTTGCTTATTGTTTCGCGAGTGTTTTAAATAAAACTTTAGAGCTTTAACCTGCCTGCTGCCACGGTGTCGCGGGGGGGGGGGCGAACTTAACCTCCTTTGATGTTGGGGCTGCTGGAAGGCGCAGACAGACGCCGCGGGCGCCCACACCCCCGCCTGCAGGGGAAAGGCGTGCGGAG